TAATAGAATTTCCCGTACAGATTGATTTGTTATCGCCTCCTTAATTGCCGGTACGCAAATATACATGATTTCATGACTAAGAGGGTATGCTAGTGAATAGGCTCTTAAAGTTTCCATTTCGTTTGGGAACTGCTAGGACTATTAGCAGTGTTGATTCAGCCACACTATCTTGGTCTTCATATCTATGATCTAAGACTTAACGTTCAACGTGGGTTAGGTTTTGCTTATAATATAGTCTCATTAGCTTTTGAGTCTTCATTTCTTTACGGAGGTCAGAATGCTCCTCCCAAATCCACTTCTGATATTAACCTTTAGAATATTATGCAATACGCGAGCAGAGATATAATTACAATTTCATCTCCATACTAAATTGCCAGTTTTGTAAGAGGCTGAACGTGTGGTTATTCCGGTTAACTTTTTACTTAAAATTGCCGCTTATGCATACTCATCGTGGCATAAAGGTGTCTGTCACATAACGATGAAATCTCGGCAGAATCTTTGCTAAGTCGAATGATGACGTGCCAGTAACCGTATGACACCGTCAACGCTTGTCCGTTAGATCAAATGGAGCTCTTGACTTATTTTAAAGAGGAACAATTTGGTCTTCTTATTCTGGGCCCCTAACACGGCATTTGAATGTGCCATGACTACCAGTCGTTGAGGTTCCAGTTGGTAATTATGCTAAAGAGATTAGTTAGTACTGATGTCATGTATTGAGAAGCCTCTACTCTGGTAATGCTGATAAGGTCTACCTACTCCGGTTTCTTTACCAGGAAGTTGGAATAACTCATTCCTGTCAATTTGGGGTTTTCACAGATATCCTGTCATCTTCTGGACACGCTCATCTGCCTTGTTGAAGGGCTTAATGCGTTCTTCAACCTAATCATATTGGACGACCAAGCCATCATCACAAACCTCTTCCACCTGTCCATTCGACCATTCTTTCACTTGGACGACTGTTTAACAGCCATACTTTCTTGCTACCAATACAGCTTACATTTGATCCGGCGTATGTCAACAAGCAAGTTACGTTGTGTTCTCTTTTTCCTCCTTTCTCAGACTGCCGTTTAGATAAATGGGACGCAGGAGTAGAAGAAGCCAGAAAAGTAGCCATGCCACCTCACGACAGAGTAATGCTTCGCTGAGTGAATATCTGCTTCGAGAGGCGGATGAGGCGTTTGCTATCGGCATTCTTGGTACCGAGTTCTATGAGCTGACACTCCGCGATCTGGAGGCCAAGGTGACAAAGTTTGAGGCTTACCATGACGAGTTAAAGCAAGAAAATGAAGCTGCCTGTGTTCAGGTTAGTATTCTCCGAAGCTCTTCTATGCTCTGACATTTACTCAAAGGCCAGATTGTCATCTTGGAAACCTGTTTATTATGAAGCAATTGCAAAAAATATAAAGTATTTATTGTAATGGCAAAATACTTCGACAATCCTACTATAAATATGATATAGGAGAGTCCTAGCGGAACTATATACTGCGCTCTACGGGTTCGAATCCCGCTGAGGGGGCCGATGCAACCCGTTCGGGTGAGGCCAAAACTGTAATCCCCCACTGATGAAAATAAATTTAGCGAAGCATGACTAAGTGTAATTCAATAGTAATCTGAGGCTTACTCATGGCATTGTGGGAAGATTTAACGAACAATCCTTCATTACCTCATTCGGCCTGTGGTGAATAGAATTCATGGTGAAGATTTTCTGATAGTTTCGAAGCATATGTTAAACGAATATAAGTAGCGTAGTCGATTGTAATAGCAAAGCACAAGTTTATTGTGACATGATTTTCCATTTCGCAGGAAAAGTTGGTAGGGAAGAATTTATGAAATGGTCCCATCTGGAACTGAAGAAGGATTGTCATTGAGTAAAGACTGTTGGATTGTGACAAGAAGTCCTCGGCTCATCGCCCTGTGACGCAAATAAACATGTGCTAAGACTTCGTATGCGCCTCCGTGACAAGCATCATCAGAGCAATAATACGTAGAAGTGGGTTGACCTCGTTGTCGCAAATTGGTATTGTTGTCAAGGCGACTTAGTAGAACGCACCTAGTCCGAAGTCGTCTGCGATAGTAGTCGTTATGATTCCCAGCATCAGACAGTGAACTTAATACATTCTCAAACGTTTCGCCGGCATCGTAGTCGGCATCATCAGTGAGTTTTGCCATTCGCCGC